TATCAAAGTTAAGGTTGGCTGAAGTTAGGAGATCTACATAGAATCTACATAGGCTAGTTCTTCAATTTATCCGGATAAATTTGCAAAAATATATTCGGATATATTCGACCACCCACGCATATTTCAAATATATCCGCATATATCCACATATTATAAAATTTATCCGGATATATTTGCCCTCAAAAATTTCCTGATGTATATTCCATAAGTTCTTTTGAAGTTTTTTTAATAATAATCTGTATAATAAATAAATTAAATAATTTTATTAAAAATTATTAATGAAATATATAATATTACAATTTAAAGACTACTCTTTTAAATTGTAACTACAAATATTCTATTAATTTAAATTTACTTATATCCAGAAATTCTTTATTAAATGAAAACATAGATATTTTTTCTTTTATTGATTTTGTATCTTTTTCCATTTTACATAATTTCTTTTGGTTGTCTTCATTTATTTTTTGTAAAAGTTCTATTTTCATCAAAATTTAATATTGTTATTAGTCAACCTTTTAAACTAATTTTATTTTCCAAAAGGCAATTTACAACTAGCAACTCGTAAACAGTTACTTTAGTTTATGAATTGAAGAAGATAATAAAAGAATAAAAGAATTATTTTAAGTTAAATCTAAAAACTAATTAAAGGATTTAAGAATTTATGATCATGGAAATTAAATTATTGATTACAGTTAAATTTTAAAGGTTAATTTAAGAAATTAAGACAAAGAGTTAAATATGTTTATCAATGATTTATGAAATAATGACAGAATTTTATAGATCAGAATTTATATTTGAAAAATATAGTTAATAGAAAAATAACAGGATTTTAATATAGAAAATATAAGTTTATTATGAAGAAATCAATAATCCAGTTACTTTAGGATTATAAAAATATTAATTCAATTATAGAATTAATTACAGTTGAGATTACTTTCTAAATTTTTACTATTTGAAACTATTTGAATCTTATTTATAATATTTGATTTGATCAGTAAGTTGATCAGTAAGTTGGTTAAAATCTTGACTAATAATTGTGTCAATTAGTTGGCCACTAAATTGATCAATAAATTGACTAGTAACTGGACCACTATAATCTACATTATTGATTTACATAATTCGTATTACACTAATAAATAAATAATTAAAATATACTAAATAATTATACTAATAAAATAATAACAAATAAGAAATAAAACAAAATAATAAAATTATAAAAGTGGAGGAAACTCATGATAACAATGTAACAGAGCTAATAAAAATAGATAGCTTTTTAATTTTAAGTTTTTTTTGAATAAATACAAAATTATACCATCATCACTTCTTGCTCACATAGTAGATACAGAAGATCACTACCTTAGGAAAAACTGTTGATTCAAGGTGTCTTTTAACAGGATATAGCACCAGCAAATTCCATTATAAGATACTTATGATTATTGTAATAAAAAACTTAATAATGTGAAGTATTAATGTGTGGTTATGGTTATCACTATGAATGTTATCAGATTCTTGAGTATGGATATTGTTACTGTGAAGAATATTACAAGCACAGCAATGTAAAATCATTTTTAGAAAGGTTAGAAAAGGGTTCCAATATCCTTACTCCTGAAGAAAATGAAGGTGAAGAGGTAGAAATGAATAGAAGTCAAGAAGTACATAATAAACTTTTAGAAGCACTTAATTGCATTAACACTTGGTGATATTGTATATGGATTTTATAATTATTTGAAAGGTTCGAAATTAATTAAAAAATTTAATAATAATAATATAATAATAATAACATAATAATAATAAATAAATAAACATTACTTGTATTAGAGTAGTCTTTTTTAATATACTATTATAAAAATACCCTTCTAAGTAAACTTTTCCAAAAATTGGATCTTATTGGATCTAAATAAGAGAAATGAAGAAATAGCTTCGAAGAATAAAATTATAAAATTTCATCATTTATTAATTAGTTGTTTTTGCGACTAGTCATATGTGCGATTTCAATTGAACCCTATTGTAAAACCCGATGATCAAAATCTAGACTTTCCCTATGCTTAGGTTGAGTTAATGTTAATTCAAAAAAAAAAAAAATGGAAATAACTTTTTTTTTTTTTTTTTGTAATATTGCCCAATATAAAAATTCATTATCAAACAATTAACATATAAACAGAAATTATTCACTATATCATTAATAAAAAGATAAACATTTTTTTATTAAGTGTCCTGCACTGTACAAACTGAATAGAAATTTTGTAAAAAAATTCTTTAATAACCTTTAATGACATACAGTCTTGAGTAAATATCAATGACTTAAAATTTTAAATTGGATTTGAATTTTTCTTTATATATAAAAAGTATAAATAGGAAAAAATTTTGTTATTTAAAAATTTTACAAACTGTATTGAAATAGAATCAAAAATAAAACTATTTACCAATATAATTAAATTATTCAAATACAATTAACATTATTCGGCGATGAAAGCAACCAAACAATTTTATGGCTCATTTCTTTTTGAGTGTTCTCTGTTTTTCTGCATGTTCAACAATTTTTTTATCTGTAGACATTCCCTAAAAAAAAATATTTTTAAATTTTTATTTATTTAATGAAATTTAATTCTTCTGGATTAATAATAAAATTAAACATAAATTTACCTTCCGTATTCTTACACTTTCCATATATTTTTTAGCGAGGTTCTCTCTGTCAGATTTTTCCCCTAAATCTTCAAGCTCTTCTTCAGTTGTTGGAACCCAAAACGGGTCTTGATCCAACATTTCAAATCTGAAAAAATGACCCAAACGATGAAGATATTAATTTTTTTTTTATTCAAGCATTATCCAAATTCTTAAATTATTTAGCCTTACCCATTAAAAATTAACTGAGGACTGGCCGCACCAGAAGTTCGTTTTCTGATTTCTAAAAATATATATATCAAAAAAAAATATTAAATAATTGAGAAAAGTTACATGCAGAGAAAAAAAAAAGCGAAACATTTATAACCATCAGCGAATCCAAAACTTTCAAACACGGGCAATAACGCGCAAATTTGAAAAAAAGGGGTTCCTTCTTTCATTTCCTCAGAAATGATACGACCGCGACGTCTAGAAATAACTCCATACACACGACCCAACGTTTCAGCTAAATCAAAGAGCAAATTATTAGATCTAATTAATTTTGAAGGAAATATTACTCAATTTATTGGTTGCTTTATACTTACTAGTTGCTTGAATATCACAAGAGTACATAGCAAGCATTAACCTTGGAGACCATTCTAAAAAACTTTGACGGCAAGCATCTCTCATTGTTGTGATAACTTGCCCACCTACCTTCGAACGCACTAAAAAATTAAAATGGATTATTTAGTAATCAAAATTTTCAAATCCTCCAAGAATTATAGAAAAACACAAACTTTCAGTAACGTCAATATTTTCTTCAGGAATAGAAATTTTAAAATCTTCTAGAAAATAAGCCACGCCCATCATGGGTTCGGCACATAGTGGGCCCGATTTCGTAGCAAGTTGAAACCCTGTGTGAATGTTCTCCTCAAAATCACGAATCGTCAGCACTGACGATGATTGTTTATTCAAATCTTTATCATTTTCAATTTGTAAGGGCAAATCAGAATTTTTTGATTCACTAGAATTCTTTCGCCATCTATTGAAAACTTTATAAGAAATAATATGATAAATTTGATAAATTATGTATATATATTTTTTCATGAGATACTAAGGTAAAAAAGGATACGATTTTCGTGTATAATTCGATACTTTATTTATTAATATATTTGGTCCGATACGTTTTGGTCCAAATGCCCAAATGCTAATAAAAATGTCAATCCAAATGATATTAATAATAATAATAATAAATATTACTTATTTCTAACTCGTTATCAAACGTACTTATCAACAACATCTTTCCAAATTTCTTTTTCAACAGCTTTACTAAACTCAGATTCAAGATTTTTTAAAAATTCTTCGTTATCCAATACACGTTCTTCTTTATTAGCAACCTCTTTAAGAGAATCTTCGTAGTCATCCGTTATCTGTGACTCTACTTTATTCCTTTGTTGACGTTCATCCAAAATAGATTTAATAGTTATGACATGTTGATTAAGAAACGAAGTTACATTAGATGGCAGTGGCACTGCACGTAACTTAATTACGCAATATTTATTAGGTGTAGAAACTGTGACAACACCATGTTGCGTACTTAATTCTTTATTTTGTTCTAAATAAAAATTTTTTTTCAATATTTTAATAATATTCAGATGCTAAAATCCTTTAATTAAGATATTACAAATAAAATAATAAAAAAAATGAATTACCTTGAACAGAAACTATTGTTTCTCTAAATGGCACGATTGGGGGGGATACTTGAATCTCGATTTTGGCAAATCGTTCTCTTAAATCTAGTAAGCATCTCTTCATAATTCCAAATAAGTTTTAATGAGTTAAATATCAAAAAGAATATAAATAATTCAGTATATTACCAAAGTCTTTCTTGCTCACTTCAAGATGTACTTCACCGGCAGTTAAAATGACATGTTCACCCGTTTCTTGAACAAGAACTTCGACACACGGATCAGCTTGGTTAAGCAAGCGTAAACCTTCAATAAGCTTATTAATTTCAGCTGTAAAATTTACAGATTATTATCCATTATTGATCTGAAGTGTATGAAAAGAATCATCATCAAAAAAATTTGACAGAAATTACATGGATCTTCCGGTTCAAGAGCAACTCGGACAATGGGAGAAGTCTAGAAAAATCATATTTCAATGAATATTTGAAAAATCATAGCAAATTCGAATAATTAGAAGGTGATTTTTACTAACTTCAGTCGTGACGCCTGCAAGACTTTTAAATTCTTTTGTGCTACTCAAAGTACCGTTCTTTAAAATATGCCCTTCAAGACCACCGACTCCGAAAACATTACCCGCGGGCACTTCCTGAAGTGATTCTAACTCTCGTCCCATCATCAAATAAAGGCTCTCGATAGTAACTTCCGAACAATGCAAATCTGGGAAAGAAGGGTCATATTTTGGTCCTAAAACATAAAGTTTCTGTCCTACACGAATAGTACCCGAATAAAGACGTGCAAATCCAATAAAAGTTTCTTTAGGCTGTGATTCTTCGTTTTCGTTAATCACGTTGGAATCTTCTGATATAGGAATCTTTTGATATTCATTATTGGAATCAGATGAAGTATCGGTCAAAGAAATTCCTTGTCGATTATTTGAAGCGAGCAACAATTCGCCCCTTTTTTGTCTTCCTCTTTCTCTCAACTCTTCTGCAGTCCATTGTTTTCGTCTGTTTTCTGGTAACTGACTTGAAAAAACAGCACACATTTTTGAAACATATGCAATGACAGGTGAAGAATCGCTATAATTACAATTATATAAATCCTGCTCAAACCCAGTTTTGGGTTCAGCGTGACTAGTAGGGAGAGCGCCTAACATTCGTGGTAGTCGCACCGGTTGTGCAGCAACTGGGGAAGGGAGCTGATCAATTATGGCAAGTGTGTAAAGTTAAGAATAATCAAAAGATTGACGAATGATTGTGAATCCAAATAAGTGATTATAAAGGATATGTAAAACAGCGGTTGATAAAGGAAGCCACTGATTAAATATTGAAATCAGCAAAGATCGAGTATCTTTGGATCTCTTATCTCGAGGGAGTATTTTCAAATTGAGAGATTTGACGATTTTTTCGATTTTTTCAATATGACTGAAATTTTTTTTTTTTAATAAGTATTTTACACGAAAAAAAGTATCTCCAAGCAAAAAATATCTACCTATTTATTATGACAGAATCATAGACTGCCCATATATTCTCCAAAACAAACTGAACAAACATTGGTTTTAACTGACGTCCTTTGAGATGCCTATATTGCAACAATCGTTTCGTTTTCGGATCGAGATAATAGTCACCCCAAAGAACTTTACGAAGTATATTCTCTTTAATACCTAACTTTGCTGCATATATTTGAGCAAATTGTTCGACTCTGTCACCCAGATCGGATACCACTTTAAACAATTGCTTAAGGAAAAGGTTGTTTACACAATGATAAGAAGTTTTTATTCGAATATTTACCTAAATGCCCAACCATCGAGGGCACTCGCAAAAACAACGTTACCCGAATCAGGGGTAAAATATATATTGGAATCATCTCGTTCTTCTAATATCGTTTCGCTAGAACTTGATTCAATATCCGAATTTTCATTTCCTTCTTTTTTTGTCAGCCTTTCCTGTTATTCAAAAAGAACTTATTATTTAAATATTTTACTTCTGAATATAAATAACATTTTTAAACAATATTTTGTGAAATATAAAATAAGTACCTTTTCAGCATCATGTTTTCTTGTTTCTTCCTCCATCACATCACCAGCATAAAATGTACCCATTATGGCATTTACTTGTTCAAGAATTTTATTAATATGAACATACGCTTCTGATGGAGTTAATTTCAATTCTGTTACGAGTCGATCTACTTTGTTGAGAACTAAAATTGGGTTAACCTTTTCTACCCATGCTTGACGAAGCACAGTATGTGTCTTAAATTGAAAATAATAAATGATTTTAGTTCATTGTAAGTAAATTGCCTCAAATCATTTTAATTTTCACCGTACTTGTGTACAAACGCCTTCGACAACATCAACTAGGATCAATGCACCGTCACATAGTCTAGATGCTGTCGACACTTCACTTGCAAAATCTACATGCCCGGGAGCGTCGATCAGATTTATTAGATATTCATCAGATTTTGTATAATTACCTTCGAAATTTTTTTAATTATTCGCGAAAGTTAGTATTATTATATTGAAATCTTTTGTAAAAAATTTTCTTTATGTACCTCCTTCAGCAGCCTCACGTAAAATTTTGAAATATAGAGAAATTCCACTCGCTTCCATGGTTATTCCTCTTTGCTGTTCATCCTCCCGACTATCAAGATATCTCACTTTTCCTGCAAGTTTACTTGAAATAATTCCATTTGAAGCCAGCAGTGAATCAGAGAGTGTGGTTTTCCCGTGATCTACATGTGCCAAAATGCAAATATTTCGAATATGATCTGTTCGGGCTTGTAATTTAACAAGTTGCGCAGTTGTGACTATTGGCATCTTTGTAAGATTTTTTATTATTAAAAAAAAATCTTTTAGTTCATTTTATATATTTTTTTTTTGCACATGCCCTCACCTGACAGTATGATCATATTTTGTAATAGTCAAAAGTTTCGTTTTTGAGACATTTGGAGACCCAATTCTGATATTCTGATGAGATTACCTGTTTAACCAACGTATTACATCTGTCCCGATCAGAATATAACATGAACCCAACCCAATCCATTATGTTTCATTAAAAACCCTAACTGTAAGTAACGGTAAGAAGATTTGATTCTTGTTCAATTGTTTTGGTGCATTATCCCCGTTAATGGTATGTTATTTTATTTTTTTTAGCACAATTAACAGAGTAGAATATGAATTTAAGGTATCCTCCAATTTAGTACAAATCAATCTACATGCATTATCAGCATTCAACTTGAATACCTTTATTATGAGATGCCATCTACTTTTGTGATTTCATCGCCACCTTAACCAAGCACCATTACTATTTGTCACATTAATATTATTGCATTTTTTTTTATAAATTTCTATAACACCTGACTGATGTCTTAGATTATTATAATTTTTCGTCAAATTAATAAATTAATATTATTACATTTTTTTTTTATAAATTGCGGTGACATATACACCAATTCACTTTATTATATGTAATAACAAATAAAAAACTAGCGAATCCTTTAAAAATAAGTACATGGAGTATTTAAAGTTTTAGCTGTTCAATTCTCAAATATTCCGAGATGACTATATATTGGTCTTAAAATTATCCTGAGCTGATCCCGTGCCGCTCTCGAACAAAATTGTTGAAATCTCCTCCATAGAAGAATTCGAAGGATTCGATATATTTTTCGTATTGAGATCCTTGAATTTCAATCGTTAAACAACATATATAACTATTATTTATTGGCGATCTGCTTATTTCATTCATTTAATTTCAATGGCGTGTCCCATTCCAATCTAATTGCGAGAGAATTATCAAATAAAGTCGAAGACCACAAAGTTCCGTTCCCTAAATGCTTATCAATAATCTTAGTTGCTTTTTTTGGATCATCTGTATATTGATGTACGATTCTACAAATGTCGTCCCGATTACCACTCCCTCGAATAAAACCAAATGCGAAATATTTTCACAAATTATTTTAGGCGCTTGTATTTCTGACTTACATAAATGGAAGAAATATTTTGATGTCGTCCCCTAATAAAGTAAGGAATAATTCGTTCCTGAATTTTTTTTTTTTGGTTCGATACATAAATTCTCAAATATACTTCGTTCTGGAGAAAATTTAGTTATATCTGGAATCTTATCTGGTGATATTCTTTTAAATGTGACATCCTCCTGATGTAGTTTTGGGCCATTTTCAAAGATCTGAAAAGAATCTTTAACTAGTTTCCATATCGGCTCGAAATGCTTACCTATTAATACAAGGTCATATAACGATTCCCTTTCTTATCTTTAAACATTCGTTGATTTTTTAAGTATCTCATGAATATTATATACAAATATTCCATATAAAATTATATTCCAAATTTTATCTCGAGTACATAAATTGATATTAAAATGAAATGTAAGAAGTATAAATATGTCAGCTAAATTATCTTTAGAAATTGCGCATACCAGAAATGGTGAATGCCTTTCATCGAAGTACTTTGATAATAAAACAAGAACATATATGGATTACAAATTTAAATAAGATAAAAGATCATAATCAGTGGTGTTCTACCTATAGTAGGACTATATATGAAAATTTTAGCACAATAAAATAATGGAGATTGTCTTTAGAAAGATCATTATGATGCACATACAAAACTACTTTGGCGTTGTGAGAAATCTCATATATGGGAAGCCTCTCCACAAAGTATTCTAAGAGGTCATCAGGGTCGATATTGTAGTGGTACTGCGAAACTTAATATTGAAATTGCTAAGCAAATCGCACTATCGAAACAAGATCAATGTACAGTATTTTTCTGAAAAACATTTACCATTTTTTATCTTCGCTAAGTTTTGCATATCAACTATAGTCCAATTAAATCCAGCACAAGTTGGATATGTGACCTTTATTACATTTTCCATTGCAAAGAAGTTTTGTTATCAATATAATCTGAAGAGAGGCATTCACCATTTCGACTCTGTGTTATTACTCTAGCTATTTCAATATTATTATGATTACATTTGCGACACTATGTATTATGGCACCTAACAATATCAAAACGAGCGAACTAATGATGACCTTTATTACACCTCCATTATAAAGGGGTTTTGCTATTTATATATTTCGTTGAAAGATATTCACCATTTCTACTATGCGCTAAGTCAATAGCATTTTTAAGGGTAAGATTTATATATGGATGTGAACTTGCTGTACGTAATCTGGACACCATAATTTTTCGTTTTTGGTACGGCAAAATGGTGCAGACTATTGATGTCCTTTAGCACATTCACAATCAAGAGGAATTTAACAATTTATATATAGTTTTGAAAGACACTTGCCACCTTGCTCTTTTACAATTGTACATGCATCAGATAGAGTAAATTTGGTTGTCATTTTCAGAATATATTCAAATAATCAATTGTTAAATTGCTAGTCGGTTAAAACAAACATATTAATTTTTATTCAATATACTATAATATACTATCTGGAGGATATTGAAGTTTTTCTAAATCTCCATCTAAATAATATAAAACGGATTCAGATTTTATGAAGGCTCGGTAAGAATTTCAGGTCCGCGTCCTTTTTCACACTTTTCATACCACCCTCGATTAATGAATATACCAATAGTAGCTACTTCTGTGTCTTAGAGTATTTCCATGCTATTATTAAACTTCTAGTGTGAATTGACAAGTAAATATATATATAATAAATCGAATAATTTAATTTTAATCTCGGGTCTGTTAATTGTTCTGGTGAAACCATTATAAAAAAAAAACAAGTTAAATACGTTTTTAAATTTTTAAACTTATAAAAAAATAAACTGGTATTTTTATTTTATCCGTAGGTAAAAAGGTCTAAACCTGTTAAACGTAAAGAAACGTAACGAACGACGATAAGGATGACGAACACCGAGAATGTAAATGGTGATTTTTCATAGCTTGCTTGGCATGTATGCAATTGAAGTTACGCTGCCTCTAGAAAGGGTGATTATGATATGATTCCAGTATGAGCGAATGATGTCATAATTATTGCTTTTCGAAAACGTGGTGTCTCATAGCTCGCGAGAGTGGTGGCCGTACATAGCATTGAGGTGAATATATCTCTTGGGCTAACATTTTTTAAAATTTTTTTTTTTCATAGAATGTAAGTGGCAGTTTTCCATGTAATTTTAATTTAACCTGTATTCTTTGCAGGCTCTCTGATGACTACAAACCTTAAAAGGATAAAAATGCCATATCAAATTATTATTGACATTACAATAACTATAATATAACTTTAATAAAATAATTTATTTTATTTCTAATAAGTTACAAAATATTAATGTTACAATATTGATGTTATCGATATTCTATATATTTAAATCAATAAAACAACTCATTTTAATTTGAATTTTTCGATGACATTTCATACCCAATCGCGTGGATGTTTTAAAACCTTTAATAATTCATCCTCACGACTATTTTCTATGGGTTTATGTTGATACTCCCAACGTGCGGTTAATGGTAAAGACATAAAGATACTTTCAATTCTTGCTCCAGGTGTTTGTAAACCAAATTTAGTTCCACGATCCCATATAAGATTGAATTCAACATATCTACCTCTTCTTAATTGTTGCCACATTTTTTCATTCTCTGTAAACTTTGCATTCATTCTTCGTTTAATCAATGGAGTATATGAAGGTAAGAATGAAAGGCCGCATTGTTTGACAAATGCAAATATTTCCTCTTCAGATTTGTCATCCAAATCATCAAAAAATATTCCTCCTACTCCACGCGATTCTTCCCGATGTTTTAAGAAAAAGTAATCATCACACCATTTCTTAAATTTTGGGTAATACGTGAGATCGTGCTTGTCACATGCATCTTTTAAAGTTTCATGAAAGTGAATTGCATCTTCTTCGTAAAGATATGAAGGTGTAAGATCGGACCCACCACCAAACCACCATATTTTTGATGATCCGGAATCAATTTCAAAATATCGATAATTCAAGTGTATCGTGGGGACGTGAGGATTATGAGGATGCATTACAATTGAAATTCCTAAGGCAAAAAAAGGAAATGGACCTTTTGAAGGATCAATATCTTTTTGACGAGATTTCATTTGTTGTAATGCTGGTTCAGGTAAGTCCCCGTGTACTATCGAAACATTTACACCTGCTTTTTCAAAGACATTTCCATTTTGTAATATACAAGATACACCACCACCACCTTGAGTACGTTCCCACCTGTCGATTAAAAATTTTTTACCATCAATTGTTTCTATTTCTCTCACTATACTTTCTTGAAGATTCCTTATGAATTGTTCCATTCTGATACGCAATGGAGTGGTACTAGTTTCCACAACTATCTGAATTAATGATATACACCTCACGCAAATTAAAAAAAAAAATATTGACATAAAATCCTTCCAATAATTAAATAATTAAAAAATTTTAATCTTGAATAATTACTTTGGGAATAGAAACATCTTTCGGATATGAACTTGAAAGCTTTATTAAAAATTGAATAGAATTTTTTTTTTTTAAGTATTTTCAACCATTTTTTTAAAAGACATAAAAATAATATCAACAGTTTAATTTTAAATAATTACTTGTAAAATTCCATCTTTCTTATCCAGAGGTGAATTCTTTCAATAAACATTTATTATTAAAAAAAATATTTATATTTATATTTATATTTATATTATTGATTTTATATTTTTATTGTACCTGTATTATTTTCGTAAGGCTTTTATCTCTGTAATGATAATATAAACCCGTGCCACTTACGGCAAGTATCGCGGCGGCTTTAGTATAATTATAAGATGATAAGGTCCTAACAGAAATTCGTCGTAAAATACGTGAAGCAAACATAAGTGATTAAATCAAAATTGTTGTGATACAATAATTTTTATTTAAAAATTTAAACTTTCTGCATTTCCAAATAATTTGTTAATCATGGAACCTTACACTGGAACAATTAACAGCGGAGGAGCTAAACCCGAAATTAAAATAGATGAACTCACTTCGGAAAGAGTTAAATTCATACTTACTAACACAGATCTAAGGTATTAAATATAATTCGTTTTTTTTTTTTTTTTTGATTTATTATGTATACATTTACGCGTTAATTCACATAGAAGTTTATAATAGCATGGCAAATGCCCTAAGACGCATAATGATAGCAGAAGTAGCTACTATTGGTACCGCTTATATTTTATAATATTGCGGTTTTTTTTCTCAATTGAAAAAAGGTTCCAATTCTATTTAACAAAAAAAAGTAAATGTTTATTGAAATCATAGCGATTGATATGGTCGAATTTGAATTAAACACTTCCGTGTTAGCTGATGAATTCATTGCACATCGTTTGGGTTTGATACCTTTAGATAGCACAGAAGCTGAAAAAATAAAATATTCTAGAGTAAGTAAAAGTAAATCTGCTTTGACATTTTTTTTTGAATTATCCAAAAATTTTTAAAAAAAAAATTTTTTTTTTTTTAATTTATTCTTTGAAGGAATGTAGTTGTCAGGGAGCCTGCAAAGAATGCAGTGTGGAATTAAATTTACACGTAAAATGTACAGAAGAAGATACTACTAAAGACGTAACTAGTCGAGATCTTGTCAGTAATGATCCGCGAGTTACACCTATTCAAGATGGTTTGTATAAATTGGATTTTATATTTTTTTAACATTTATAAAAAGTATTGACACAAATTAATTAATTTAATATATATATATACTAGGTCCAAAGGATCCTGGTATTCTAATAGCTAAACTTCGTAAAGGTCAAGAAATTAAAGTTAAATGTATAGCCAAAAAGGTTTGAATTTTTGTTATGGTCACATGTAGATATTTTAGATATTTTAGATATTTTAGATATTTTAGATATTTGATACTTTGTTATATACTTGATATAGAAAAATTAAGATTTATTCTATTTTATTACTCTTCTAGGGTGTAGCAAAAGAGCATGCTAAATGGAGTCCTTGCGCAGCTGTTGCTTTTGAATATGATCCATTTAATAAGTTAAGGCATGCTCATTATTGGATTGAGGAACATGAGAAAAAGGAATGGTATGAAATATATTTTATTTAAATAATTACCTTGTACCTGAGTTACGGTTATTATTATATTTCTACTTTTTTATCTCTCATATTTGTTTTCTTGAAATTTAGGCCTGCAAGTAAAAATGCCGAAAAAGATTTTCCTCCAGGAGATGATGAAGGTAAATGAATTTGTTCCATATCAATATCCGTTATTATCATCAGTTCTCGATTTTAATAATGATTCTAATATAAATTTTACACATACACACATATATATAGTATTTGATTTCACTGCTAAACCTAATAGGTTTTACTTTGAAGTCGAAGTAAGTTATTTTTTTTTTATCATGAATTTTATAATAAAGGAAATATTTTTTTATTAAAACAATGAAAATCTATTTTTAGACAATAGGCTCTATGAAACCCGAAGATATTGTGATGAATGCATTTAAGAAATTATTGGAAAAAATTTCATCAGTTCAAATGGGATTGACAACAAATGATGTTAATGCAATCAATAGAGAACCTCCTCGAGAATTTTAGATAAGATTTCGATGTTAATAGATGTTAATAATGAAATTAAATAATAAATTATTATCAAGTGTATTTTTGATTTTTAAAAATTTATAATAAATTAATTTTCTTTTAGATTAAAATCAATAAATTAATATTAGTTTACATCTTAATAAATAATAAATTTCATTCAAACATTAAATATGACATATATTAGAATATTCTACCTTATTGATTTTTCTGATGTATAACCTTATATATAAATTTTATGTTCACTCCACAATAAAGTACTTTATCAGATATACAATTAGCCATAAGGTTATAAGTATTATTATTATTATGTTCTTTTGATTTGTTGTAAAAACGTATGTATTCAATATCAAAGTTTTATCAACATGTCATAGATCTTAATAAATGTTATTTATTAATTTATGAAATTTTATGTTGTAGTTTTTTAAGTTTTGACTAGGACTTTATACACCTAAAAGATAATTTTGGAAATTATGATTACATAAGTTATCAATATTATCAAATTTTCTTTTATTACATTCATTTGAAATTTCATTTGTCAATTGGTTCTTCTACACTATCTAAAACTTTCAATTCCCAAAAGTTTGCTGAATTAATACAGATTTTATCATCACCTGTAAAAAAGTTTTATTTTTTTATTTTTTTAGTGAATAGATTAAGGAAAGAAAATGAAAGTTTTTTTTTTTAATGTTGTAAACCTTATTCGCAGCAAAATGAGCACGAGATGAATACACATTTCCATAAAATTTTGAAAAATTATCTTTATTAACAATTACACATTCTGATTGCAAACTCTTTGAATCAATTAAATATTCACAATTTGACAGAACCAATTATTAATACCAATCCTTTCTGCAACTTCCTTAACTATAATTTTTTGTGGATTATTATTAGATTCAATATTTCTCCACTTTGCTTGTAATGCTAATAACTTTGTTATTAAAAAGTGAATCCATCAGCATTTATCAAAATTTATAATGATCATAAATAGTACCATTAGATAATATTGGTTCCTTAAATAATGTATTTTAATTGCAATCAGGAATTTCCACATCTTCATTCATAAATGAATTTGAATACATTAATTTCCAAAATTTGAAAATTGATTCACTACTAGATTCTTTTATTAATAGCCAATTCCAAATATATGGAATATGTATAGGACCATACGTAAATTATTTACATTTATTTACCTTTACTTAGTAATACTTATTAACTTTTATCCACTTACCTTCCTTCACTTGCCTCATTTTCGCCATCCTCTCTGTGTTCCGTCCTTGTTTTTTTATTTCTTTTATTGTTTTTCTCCTTATTTTCTATAAATTAATTAGAAACTTCTTCACACATATCTTCACGTGACTTACCCTTTAATTATCTCATAAAACCCTAGCCGAAACCACATAATCTTGCTCCTTCATTAAAAGAACTATTTTACCTTTTCTTTCTCTTTTCCTTTGGAATCCTTACAAATTCATCTATCTTTAAAAATATTTAAAATAAAATTAGTTATTTATACTCACCTCTCTCTTCCAAACCCTTGATAACTACTGAGCTAAATCCCAGTAAGAACTTAAGAAAATCCTTTCACTTTTCCAAAAGGTAATATCAATGGTTCGTATCAAATTAAACAGCTATATATATTAATTTGATTCGTACTGTACAGTAGTTTATCGGTATAATCTCAAATTTAGAGTATAAAAGAAATACTAGGAAAATTTAATCCTTTAAATTTTCAAAACTAACACGCAAGAATTTTGATGTATATTAAGATCATACAAGTTTTCAAATTCATATATTTTATAGTTCAGTCACTTGATAGCTGTCAACTTGTTCATTTTAATTTTATGAAAAAATAAAGTTTGCATACATTCAAGTTTCATCTTTTTATTTCTTGTGTGGTGTTAGAAATAAAATAGTAATAATATTTAATAATGAATACGATTACACGAATGTTACGAAATAACGTCAATATAATGATTAATTCTCCATCCTTGCTGTTTATGAAAGAATTTGTAATATTTTTTCATGTTGCTCCCTTTGGAATTTGGTTATGAAATCATAATAATATCGAGTTCTAATCCTTGATGATATTTAGAAATCATGGTTGGCGTATTTTAGATAGAAGTCCAAGTTATTTTGACCCTATTTCTCGACAAAGCAAAATGAACACCAATTTCCTTGTTGAATACTAGCAGGAATAGCTTCCCATATATGAAAAATTTTATAAATTCATTTTAATTTTATAGAGACATTATAATACTTATCAAGACAATCACGCCTTTTTTTTTTGCATAGAAATATGTATGTTCCAATAGTAAACTGAATTACCTAAAATTTTTTATACCAGAAAATGCACTCCATAAGTGACCTTTAATATACTCCCATAAAAATTTAGATCAATTATTGCTATATTTTGTTGAAAGACTTTCAATTTTTGTTATCTAACATTTCCAATAGTATAAGATATATTACCTACACAAACTGAGTTTCCATATATCAAACGTTATAATACTTATCTGAAAAGCAATCATCAATAACTATTACATGTCAGACACCAACTTTTTTGATCTAACAGTAAGGAGCTGTCCATCATTCTAATAAGTGGATACAATTAATATAGGCTTCTAAATTAAAATGTCCTTAGCTGAATTGAACCATTTTGACTAGTAGAAGTAAAATATTCTGAAGTGTTGTGCTACTGCAAAATTTTCATTTGACTATTGAAGATACAAAAGTCAAATAATAAGTCTAGTTTTTATTATTAGAAGATTCCAAGTTACAAAGAAAAACTTTATAAACTTATAAAATTCAAAAAAGAAGAATGATTTTAAAAAAAGAAAAGTTTGAAGATAATATGACATTTCATTTAGTCCTAACTTATCTACAATCAAATAAGTCAAAAATGACTGAAGCTTCAAATTAAACAATAATTTCAAAAATATATATATAAAATAATAATAAGGCGCCCGCGTTTTGGCCATGGGTTTATTGGTGACAGAACGGGTGGCAAATATGTTTTCACATCGTAATAACATTATAAACATTATACAATCAAAGTATAAATATTAAATAATTCAACAGGTGTGACAAGGTGCCTGAACTAACCCTTACCTCTGCCTTTAGTCATATGATAAAAATTTATAATTCAACCAATAAAATTTAATGAAGTGTCCCACGCGCCAGTGCGTAGCGAAGGACTATATATTTCTTTTCTACGCACTATGATAAATTCTGGTCACGGGTGTTTCTCCGCACGAACGTGATGATTACCCAATGAGAATGTGATTCTTATTTTTAGATTATTTTAGATAACCATTTTAAATTTTTTGTGCTCCGGACTCGCGGTTCCGTTTCCCAGTAATATCCCACTGTAATAGTTGGTTTATATAATATTTTGAACATCAATAATATTCTTTAATGAAAGGAACTCCACCAACTTTATTATTAATAACATTATATTTACACAATATCTAATATTATATTTTTTTTACTAAAGTATAAAAAGTGTAATAAAAACAAAAACAAAAACAAAATTCAATTTGAAATTATTTTATTAACGAAAATATACATTATAAATTGATACGCGAAAATCTCGTGAAAGGAAATTTACACCTTTTTTTTTAAAAAAAAAAGAAAACTTTCATAATTCATATTCTATCAATAACTAACAAACTAACCATTAACATCAACAATTGTTATCCCACTTAATACATAATTATATAAGAATCATCGAACGTGATTTTTTTTTTTTGCTCACGATGAAATATTATTATTCGAACGTTTATTATTTAAAAAATTATTAATGTGAGATCGTTTTCGAGTAACGGAAGAAGAATGATGAAAAAGTTGATTTTTCTTGAATTTCATTCTTTCAAGTTGTAGTTGAGTATAGTGATAAAGTCGAAGAGCGTAGTCAATTTTTGCTTCTTCGATCATGGCTTCAGTTGGTTCAGGCATCACGGAAAATAATTGAAAGAGATTTGACATTTTCTTTACTTAATAATTCGAGGTGGAAAGTATCATAATAATTAGTCAGCCAATCAATATAAGAGAAAAACCTTCAAGATGACGCTTCTATTTATACAACTTTTGCAATTACACAATATAAAAATGCTTTAATATAAAAAAATAAACTTAATATGATATTAAATATGTAAGTTTTTTTTTTATCGGTTTATCGGTGTTATAACGTAATCAATGTGATTTGAACGCGTAAAATAATTAATTATTTATCAATCTTTTGTTATATATATTTACACTTATAAATTGCATATCGATATAAAGTGATATAAAGTTATCTGTTATCGAAGTTGTCATCGTTAACTTTGTCATGAGAATGGAAAAAATGATGCAATTGTATTATAATGGGAAAAATTATTTTTTACATAAATAACAAATAAAGTTAGAACTCATTGGTTGCATGCTCGATTTTTCTTACATCTTAAGTCAAACTTTTCTTACATCTTAAGTCAAATTTATTATTATTGTTGCGCCTATTCTTGAAAAGCAGTCATTTAATGAATTTCTTTGTTCTCAACTTTATTTAACATACGAACACAAAGTCACGAGGTAATGATGTTAAAAATACGTTTTAAGCTTCCATTTGATTATCTAGATAACAGATAAAACTTTACTTTATTTTTATATTTCATCCAAATTTACCCAAATTTTTTATGGGGAAGGTCCTGCCCGTATTAATATGGTAATATTATAATAGTAATGATAGATTTCACTTTTAAGTAAGATTATATATTTAATTTTTTTTTTCTTCTCTTGTGGAATTTTTCCACCAACTTTACGAAACAATGTTTGCATGATCAATTATTTACTGGCGTGTTTTTTTACGTGGACCAAATAAAAAAAAGTCCTTTTTTTAGTTCTTTTTAACACCTGAAATAGGAATATCTTGATTAAATAAAATGAAGTCTTTCCTATCGTAAATTATAATCAGTATTAAGGAATTACTTGTCGGTTAAATATTAATCTATATTGCGTCATTTAAAAATATTGATATGAATCTAGAACCTCAATGCATGTCGTCATCATGCATTGCTAACAACATATTTCCCTTTTTGTATTTATGTAATGACGTAATTAAATGTCGTACAAAATTTATATTCCGTTCATTGATGTATAATATAATTACGTGTGGGAATCGTTACACACCGTGATCTGAGCATGATTTTTAAGGGTAATATAATAATGCTGTAATGGCAAATGGGTCAAACCTTAACCAATTATATTTCATATTATCACGTGATTATACAATGTTAAATATGCAAAGTATCGTTTTTGATACCATGTTTATGCGATATTAGAGGTGCAGACTTATGGGAGGTCATGACACCCTCCAAGTCACAGCAAAGACGTAGGTGTGATATACCTTTTTTAAAAGTTGTCGTAAGATGTGACTGTAGTAGTAAGACGTGACTATAATTATGTGTCATAGCTATAGTCATAGACGAATGTTTTATGTAGTAATCAATATAATCAAATAATAGATGATGATTATTATTATTATATTTATATTATCAGTTATTATTCTTATAATAATTATACGGAAAATCACGTGATCTACGCACATAAATTCCATTTTTTGACTATTTCTGTAATATCATATTCGTGGAGATATTCGTGTTTAAAGTCGAACGACCGTGAAAATTTTCTAACTTTTCCAGAATTCTTCGTAATTCCGGTGGAAATTTTATGACGTTATAAAATTTCGAAAAATTCCAGAAATTTTTCGCGGACGTTCAACTTTAAACGCGAATATCGCCACAAATATCGATGTTACAGAAATTAAACACATATTATCTTGTAGTCAAGAACCATAACTTTTGATCCGTCTTAGAAATATCTTAATAGAAAGTCGCGTAAATTGCGGCCGAAGCCACGACTATATTACGACATACTATTACAGTCACGTTTTCTAGGGTCTGCAAAGGTATCGTTGATACATTATTTTAAGTAACGTGATACAACTTAATATAAGAATAACAAATACAAATCATGTGAACATCGAAAATGGTACATCAAAAAATAACCATAGATCTGCGTTACGTCTTACTACATTGTGAATTGACGTGATAATTAACACCCTATGCGGTATTGTACTCCAATAAATCAACTAACATACATTTCTCACGTGATATATATCTACTTTCGTAATGTTAAATTGCAGATCATAATTTTCGTAGTCACGTGAACGAGCGGAGTCAGCATCGATCTCAAGGAAAAAATCAATAAACTCATTATAAATATTTATAATTTTCTATTGAGAATGAAAATGAATGTTATTTTAGAATAATATGAATAGTTAAATTTCCGTATATGTAATAGATTAAAAATCAAGCAGTACTAGCAACTTTTTTATTTTATAATATAATTCTCTCAAGTTTTTTTTTTTTCGATTAATTAGATAATAATTATATTATTTCCTATATAAAGCTTTACTTAATCTAGAAAGAGAATTTTTCAAGAATTCGTAACTTAACTTTAGGAATCAAATAAAAAAATTTGTTTTGTGTAAACGATTTTCGCCTTTAATATATATATTATATTTATATATCACGTGATTTTGTGAATCCTACCTTATTAATTGTTTCGAACTTTTATATGTTCAATTATGAATTACTGAATCAACTAAAAATGACTGCGTCAACTGTACCCAGTATAGAATCTCTATTGCAATGCTCTGCAAAACGTACAAGAGCCATGTTTCAATCTGGTGTCGCTGCAAGTCCACTCATTGAGGATGAAAGGTTTTTAATTCTGGTGGAGATTCCTTTGAAAAGATCTATTCGTACTTTTCGCGTGCTTCTTTAAATTTATTTGATTTTTTTCTTTTAGTCAAATAATCAAGTTACGTATAAAGATCCATGAATATGATGATGTCAAAGAATTACCAAAAGCTTTAGTGGCGCAACAAAATGTACAAAATGTACAAAATGGTCCTCCTTATCCTTCGACACCTGGTAAGCCATTTTTTTTTTAAAAAAAAAAAATAGAAAATTGGATGAATAATCATTTATGAGATTTACTTTTTCAGATGCCACGCTTTCAAGCGATAACATAACGGAAGGACAAATTTCGGAGAGTAGTGTACAAAAATTAGTAGAAAGTCTTCCTCCATCACGCGCTCAGTAAGTTTTTGTACGACTATCTTAACTGAAGTTCATGTTAAAGAAAGGATTCATTTGAAATAATAATCAAATTAATTATAGACAAGAAGCTGCGAAAATACCATCCGGGGTAATAGAAATTCGTCAGAAAGTTGGGATTAATGCTACAACTGCAGCTACATCTGGTTCATTAATAAGACGTAAGGTTCCCCGCGTTACTCGCCCAGGTTGGCACCCACCTTGGAAATTAATGAGAGTCATTAGTGGACACTTAGGTTGGGTACGGTCTGTTGCTGTGGAACCCGGGAATAAATGGTTTGCAACTGGCGCTGGTGATAGGACTATTAAGGTAAATCAATAGATTTTCCTCATATATGATCCAAATTTTAATTTTTTTTCGTTTTTTATAACTTTAAAAATTTCATGCTTTTTAGATATGGGATCTTGCATCGGGTACTTTAAGGCTTACCTTGACAGGACATATCTCTACTGTTCGAGGACTAGCCGTATCTCCACGCCATCCATATTTATTTTCATGTGGCGAAGATAAGATGGTTAAATGTTGGGATCTTGAACAAAACAAAGTTATCCGACATTATCATGGTCATTTATCAGGAGTTTATTCATTGAGTTTACACCCTACATTAGATGTACTGGTTACTGCTGGAAGAGATGCCACTGCTAGGGTTTGTAATGTTTTAATTACTTTTTAATCTCAATGATTATTCTGAATTTCTTTTAAAAAAAATAAAATAAAATAATTTTTAGGTGTGGGATATGCGAACGAAACAATGCATTCACGTTCTTACCGGACACAACACAACCGTAGCTGACGTAAAATGCCAAGAAGCCAATCCACAAGTTCTTACGGGTTCAATGGACACTACGATCAAACTTTGGGATCTTGCGGCTGGTAAAGCAATGACCACACTCACACATCATAAAAAATCGGTCAGAACGTTGACGATACATCCTACTGAATTTACTTTTGCTAGTGGTAGTGCTGATAATATAAAACAATGGAAATGTCCCGAAGGAAATTTTATACAAAACTTTGAAGGACATCATGCAATTATAAATGCATTGACTGTTAGTGCTGACAATGTTTTGTTTTCAGGAGGTGAGATGTTTTTCATTTATATATATTCAAATATTTTAACCATATTAATTATTTCTGTATTTTTTTATTTTATTTTTATTTTTTTTTAGCTGACAATGGGTCAATGGCATTTTGGGATTGGAAATCAGGATATAAATTTCAATCGATGGAAACAACTGTGCAACCTGGTTCTTTAGAATCGGAAGCCGGAATTTTTGCATGTACTTTCGATCGTTCAGGCTTACGACTAATAACTTGTGAAGCAGATAAAACTATAAAAATTTGGAAAGAAGACCCGAATGCTGTAAGAATTTAGAATTATCATGTTAAAAATTATTCAAAAACTTAAGAAATAACTATCATCTTAAATATTTTAAATTTTAAATTTTAGACTCCTGAAACACATCCCATAGATTGGAAACCATCATTAATTAGAACCAGATATTAATAGTCGATAATTAATTTATTAGGAACAGCAAAGTACATACATCCGAAAAAAAAAATCATTATTATAGTTGACCCTAAATGAACGAACAGAATTGCATGAAGGCTATTAATAAGAGATTTAATAAGAGATTTAATAAGCAAAAAAAAACCCCCCCCAATAATAATAAAATTACCTTTAATCTTCTTCACCATAATCTTCAATATAATCTCCAACGTCTATACTATCTTTCAAAACATCACTCATAAACTTTTCGATATCTTCTAATAAACCCTCTACGCTACCAGATTCACCTTCTAAAATATCAGTAGGATGCCAATCAGGTACTTCACCGGCATCTAAATTAGAGTTATGAGCGAAATTTTCGTCCCAGGATTTCTTGTATAGCTATTTGGGAATTTAAAATTAATATCTTTTTTTGGATTAAAAAATGTATTGTTAAAAAATAAATAAAAATTAAGTACTTACAGTGACTCCCCAAGATATATCATCTGGACGATCACCAATCATAATTTCTACTCCAGGCGGTTGTGATTCGTTTAATTTCCAATATTCATATTTCGTTATCTCAACAACGTAATCGTAATTCCACCAATACTTATATTTTGTTTTTTCACAAACCGAAAAAACTGCAATATCTTTGGTATTGATGTAAATCAAACGATTCTTATCAGGACTAAACAAAATTTGATAAAATCATAAAGAAATTATGGTTAAATTAAAAATATCCAATATTTAATTCAGGGGCCAAGAAGAAAAATACCTTAATTTCAACTTGTGAGCAAATATTCCATGAGCTTTAAATTTATCATTGTTAACTCGTTTTGCAGTTTGAATAGAAAGTTTCCACGAATGCTTGCTAAAAATAATAAAATGTCACGAATCTCTAATCTATACACATTTAAAGAATTATTATTATGAGGAACAATTCATTATTTACTCACTAATCAAGACACGCCATATTAATCTCTATTACTTTCTTTTCATTAGTAACTGCATTCCATAATCCAATTTTACTTTCACCTTTAAGTTCGTCAGGTTTTTTATTATCACGACCTGCTTGATTAAATTGCACATCAAATATGTATTCGTGTTCGTGTTCATCATTATTAGGTTGAATTGCGCAAATCTTAAATTCACTAAAAGGTATTCCATCCCATCGTTGATTTTCTTTTTCATCAAGTGTATCTCTTATTGGTTTTAATTTATCGTTACCCGTAGCCATACTAATTATAAAGTTTGGGAAAGATTTTAAAAAGGAAGATCGAACATAAATTAGAAGAAACCCTTGCGAAATACTTACCATGTGGCAAATTTAGATGACAAACGAGAATCACTTAAAATTTTCTCGCATAATCTATCAATTGGCCATAATCTATCTTTTGGAAAATCAGTGAAACATATATGACCAAATCTGAATAAAAAAAAAAAAAATAAAATATTATGTCAATATCAATAAATAATCTTCGGATTCATGAAGATCGTTGGCGTAACGAACTAAAAATTTAAGTTACCTAATGCGCATTTTTATTTCTTCGTCAAATAAATGGATAACACCCAATGCATCCTTCAAAGCTTTGTTGATTTTTTCTATGTTATTTCTGTGAATACTGTAATATCATATTAATTATATTAATTAAATATGATTTTTTTTTTTTTAATACTAAAAATATGTAATTTCAGTTGGGCATATCTTAAGTAAATTTAGTAAATCTTTACTTTTTCACAAAATTTACATCTGTAACAGGTTTATCATTATTTTTAATTTTTTTTACTCCTGTCTCAATTTCTCCATCAAGAACACGTTCAAGAATTACAAATTTAATTTGTGGAGGCATGTCATAGGGTTTTACAAAATCGAGTGGTGGAGATGAAAGCCGAACCAGGCAAGACCTTTTTGGTTGTTGAATTAGATGATAAATCCATCCTATACACACTCCTTGATGCATTGGAATACTTCGAGACTAAAAATAATTAAAAAATTAAATAATTAAAAAAAAATTAAAATCAAAAAACGGAAAGAGAAATTCCTTACCGCAACAAGTTTCAGATAAAGATTCTTTACTCGTAATATGGCTGCTTCAACAGCTTCAGAATTATCGCCAGAAGCTGTAAAACACTAAAAGAATAATGTAAAGAAATGCGTTGTGAATATATTATAAATCTCTACAATAAAATAATATATCTATTTAAACTAATAGGAAATTTTAGAAATTTTAACTTACATTTGGTCCTGGTTCAAACCATATATAGCTTTTAGTTTGAGCGCGAACCGGATTTAACACTTCCTCGCGTTCACCGACGAATCTTGATGTTTCAATTTCATGATCGGGCAAATAAAAATGTGAAGAAAAAGGTCTGGGGGAGTCAGGAAAGCCGCGATAATCGCTTTCTTCGCGTTCTCTTTCTTCTCTACGCTTTTTCTTTTCTTTTTGCTTTTTAGTTAGAGCCTTTTCGGGTTTAGCCCAACCTTTTACCTTGGAACCCCTTAGTCTCAGTTGTTTTTCCTAAAATTACGACAATAACGGTCAGTATTGTACGTTTTGTTATAAATGTTCATAAAATAAAAGTAAACATATAAACATACTGCTAATAAGTTTTCAGCTATGGAATTCCATTGCCTAATAGCTGATTCAACATTTTTTCGCGAACCCCATAATTCAATTTGCTAAATTGAAATTAAATAATTTCTTATTTAGTTTTACAATAATATCAGTATTGAAATTTTTGAATTTTTATTATATAAATTATATAACCGACTCCTTCGTTCTCATTATAAAACATGTGCGTGTGGGTAGAATCCGCAATACGTTTCAAATTAGACTTCTGAGTTCCAAGAATCTCGGAAGATTTTAGGTGAGGAGGAATCTATAATAATAAAAAAATATAATTCGATCACAAACTTGTTTTTCTTTTATAATGGAAACTTTAAAAAAGAATTTTCTTACCAGCCAAACCTCGTCGGGATTTTTTTGCCTATAAACATTATTCTGTTTTGAAACTCTTTGTGGAGTATCGTCTCTCCAAGCCAGAACGTCTTCGTCCTCATAATTCATCATTTGTTTGTTAGAATAAAGATACAAAGGATAGAAACTATAGCAACTCGGAAAAACTTGTTTTTTTTTACAATGACGTAAGTAGAATAACGATTGTCTCACATGGAAATTTTAAAATAAAAACAATAACCAAAACTTTCGTTAGTTAGTCAAAATTCAAAATGGAAAACGTGCCCAGCCCCAGCAAAATGGACATTAATGACATGTTTGTCTCCCATGTCGAAGATGTCGAAGATAGTGGAGACGAACAAAAAGCAAATAAAAAAAAAAAAACAAGTGATCATCCTTTAAAAGAGGTTAACCCACCCACTGTTGAAGTTAATAAAGAAGAAATCGTAGCTCGTAAATATCAGATAGAACTTTACGAAAAGGCTAAAAATGATAATGTCATTGCGGTTTTGGATACTGGTAGTGGAAAAACGTTTATAGCAGTAATGCTTATAAAGGAAGTAGTTGCGGAAGAGCGTAGACTAAGAATGATTAGAAGAGAGGTAAAAAAAATTGATTTTTTCATGATATTCATAACTTATTTAAAAAAAAATCATTAGAATCAATAAATTTAATCATTGTCATTTCGTAATTTCTTTAAAAAGACCAAAATCACATTTTTTCTTGTGAACCTCGTTCCACTTGTGTTTCAACAAGCCGAAGTATTAAAGTCAAACTGCAGTTTCAATATCAAAAAATTCTGTGGCGAAATGGGCGTTGACCTTTGGAGTGAAAAACAATGGGCAAAATATTTTGAAGAAAATGACGTGCTTGTCATGACCGCTCAAATATTTTTAAATATCCTGCGACATGGATTTATATCTTTAAAGCAGGTAAAGCTTAAATTTATATTTTTTTTTCCGAAAAAGTAATTATAGTATTAATTTTATTCAATTAAAATTTTGTTAAACAGGTCAATCTATTGGTTTTTGATGAATGTCATCATACTTCAAAAAAACATCCATATAATTTAATCATGAGAGAATTTTATGATCGTTGTCCGGAAGAACAAAAACCCAAAATTTTTGGTATGACAGCTTCTCCTGTGAATACACGCAGTAACATTCACTCAGCAAGGTATTTTAATTCGTTAAAAATTAAATAATAAATTCATTTTAGATTTGATTCGTTGATTTTTGTTATATCAGCCATTTAGAAAGCAATTTAAATGCGAAGGTATTTACGGCAAGCGATACAAAAGAACTTCGTAAATATATAAATCGACCCGATGAAATAGCCATAAAATATAATCCTACTCCACAATATCCAAATACGAAATTATACAACAAAATTTGGAAGGAATGCCTTGGTGCAGAGAAACTCCAAAGAGCATTTACAAGCGCAAGTCAAGCACTTCAAAGTCTCGGTCCATGGTGTTCTGATCGCGTTTGGAAATTTATTCTTGATGAAATGATTCGAAAAGATGAAGGAAAATTAAAATACGAAGACTGCGATTCACTTGATGAAAATATAAAAATATTAGCAAAAGCAAGAAGCATTATTGAAAAATGGGAATTTCTTCCTCCTGTTTGTGAGATCAACATTTTATCGCCCAAAGTGATGCAACTTGTTAAAATATTAGATTGTTTCAAATCATCATCAGAAAATTTTTGTGGAATTGTTTTTGTCGAACGTCGTCAAACGGCAAATGTATTGGATCTTTTAATTAAAGAGATTGGATCTTTAGATTTCATCAAACCTGGTGTTTTGATCGGTCATGGTTCTAGTGAAGAAGGTGATTTACAAATGAAATACAAGGAACAAAATAAAAAAATTGGCTTTTTTCGTGATGGAAAAATTAATTTGTTAATAGCAACAAATGTGGCTGAAGAAGGTTTGGACATTCAACCATGTAATGTTGTTATCCGGTACTATCTTGACCATTTAGTATATATTTTTATTTTTATTTTTATTTTTTGTTTTAAATTTTTGTAAATTAATATAAAATTCCTAATTAGATTTGATTTCTTCAACACTTTACGGGCATATATACAATCCCGAGGACGGGCTCGCCGTAAAGATTCCAAATACATCGTAATGATTGAAAATGGAAATTTAAAAGAACAAGGTATACTAGGAGAAATGCAAGAAACTGAAGCTAGAATGAAGGAATGGTGTCAAATGCTTCCTGAAGACCGCAAAACACAAGTTGAAGATGACGATGAAAGCAGTGACGATGATGATGATGATGCAGGAAATTTTTTTATTGTTTCATCCACGGGTGCTTATTTAAGTCACGAATCTGCAGTTTCTTTAATTTATTATTATTGTTCACGGCTTCCAGGAGATTCATATTTTTTTCCACAACCCGAATTTAAATTTGAAAGAAAATCAGGAGGACATGTCTGCACTTTAACTTTGCCAAATAATGCCCCTATAAGGACAGTAACAAGTGAAATTTCAGGTAGTCGCAGTAAAGCAAAGAAAGCGACAGCATTTGAAGCATGTCTACAGTTATATAATAAAAAGGCGCTGAATGATCATTTATTACCAGAGGTTGAATGGATAGAAGAAGATCATGAAATGGCAAAGCCAACGAAAGATGAACATGGCTTGATCGAAGGAGCTCGTAAATCAAAAAGAGAATACTTACGTAAAAGTCCAGATTTATGGAACATTGAAGAAGAAGAAAACCCGAAAATTCCAGAAAAATTATATGGCACCCTCTTTATATTGGATTCAGGAAATGATGAAATGTTTGATGGACAATCATATCGTACTTTATGTTTATTAACTCGCAAAAAATTTCCGGAAGTTCCACCTATTAAATTATATTTTCATGGTGTCTCTAAAATTCTTAATGTCATGGCATATTCTACTCCAATTCAAATTGAATTGGAAAAATTGGAAATAATTTTTAAGTTTACAATGCGTACATTTACTTCAATAGTTAATAAAGAGTTTAAATGTGAATTTGAGAATTTTCCATACCTTATTGCACCACTTGTTAAGAATGCACCAATCAATGAACACTCGCTTGATTTAATTGATTGGGAAGAATTGGAAAAAGCAGTTAATAATAAACATTTACCTATTGATATAGACAATATATCAAAGCTTGAAGATGCAGTTATAATCGATTATTCAGATAATTTACGAAGATATTTTGCTCAAGGAATTCAGTATGACTTAAATCCATCTTCGCCCATACCTATAGGTATGGCAATTCGCGAATCAGGTTGTCAAAATTTTGCAGAATATTATAAAAAAAATTTCAAAGAATTGGAAATAAAATATCCAAATCAACCATTGTTAAAAGTGCGAAAAATTTCAAAGGTGATGAACTTTTTACAACCTGTACCCGGAGCGCTTCCCACCTTGAAAGGTCGAACAGCCACCTATGTAATACCAGAATTTTGTAAAGAGTATTCTATTCGAGCTTCGGTCTTTAGATCAGCACTTATGTTACCAGCTATTTTTACACGGTTAGATTCGCAACTTTTAGAATTAGAATTAAGAGAACGATTTGAATTGCCAATAGGCGACGAGATACTTTTAATAGCATTAACGACACCGTCAGCTAATATGGAAATGAATTATGAGCGACTGGAAACTTTGGGAGATTCATTTCTAAAATTTTGTGTTACAATAGGATTATACGTTTTGTTCCCAGATAAACACGAGGGACAATTACATTGTCAACGTATTAGAATAATTTGTAATAAAAGACTTTATAGAAGTGCGAAAAAACTACGACTTTATGAATATATTACTTCATTACCTTTTAATCGACGGGCATGGCGACCAACAAATATGGTAACTACACTTGATGATCCAGAGGTTCTTAAACAAAAGAAGGTCCATGATTTAGCTGATAAGACACTTGCCGATGTAGTCGAGGCTATGTTAGGAGCTGCATATCTGAGTGGTCAATATGAAGCGGCATTAAAATGCGCCCTAGCAATGGAAATTTCATTGGAAGGTATAAGCGAATGGAAAGATTTTCATCTTAATAATAAAAATCCTCCACGAATTAATTCCAAAGTCCTTAAAAAAATTGATGTTGAACAAATTGAAGAAATATGTGGTTATACGTTTAAAAATAAAATTTTAATGGCCGAAGCATTAACTCACGCTAGTCTTCCTAATTCGTCAACAGCATGTTATCAACGTCTTGAATTCTTGGGTGATGCGGTTTTAGATTTCATGGTAGTTAATTACTTTTTTGAGAAATATCCTGATGGATCACCAGGATTGATGACAGATTTAAAAGATGCGTCAGTAAATAATCTAATTCTTGGAGCAATTTGTGAAATAATAGGACTTCATAAACATATAATTCATTTTTCAGCCAAATTAATGTCAGGAATAACAACATTTATAAAACAAGTAAATGAAATACGAGAAAGAGGAGAAGCAATTGGAGAATATTGGAGTGATTTAGATGTTCCTAAGGTAATGAGTGATGTTATAGAAAGCATGTTGGGAGCAGTTTTCGTGGACGCAGAATTCAATCCCGAAGCACCGCTTAAAGTATTTGAAAAATGGGTGGAACCTGTATTGAATAAACATGTTACACCGGATACATTGAAGGTTCACCCAGTGAAAAAATTAACTGAAAAAATGCAGAAAGAAGGATGTAATGAATTTCTTATAAGGTACGTAATTACTAAATTTTATTTTAAATTATTAATTTTATTTTAAATTATTTAAATCATTAATATATATATATATATATATTTATTTCAAAGAAACCATACCACTGGATCAATAGATGTCGATTCTCAAAGTTGTACAATCTTCATTCATGAAAAACCTGCGGCACATGGGTCTTCTAACAATATTCGAGCAGCCAGAAAGATTGCTGCCCAAGAAGTTTTAGAAAGACTTGAGAATGAACCAAATTATTTGGAATCAATATGTATTTGCTCTACACTTCCAAAGGGTGATAAATTATTCGAAGATGAAGATGATGAAGAATTAATAGATTAATAGATTATTGATGGTGATTTTTTTTTGGTATATTTTGTATATTAAAATATGTTAATATATAACATAATATATAGCACAATATATTATGTTGTATTTAATTAAATATATTTATATAATGATTATATATTTGCATAATGATTATATATATTTGTATAATGATTATATATTTTGTATAATGATTATATATTTTGTATAATGGTTATATTTGTATAATGATTATATAGTATATTCTTTGCTTATCCAGGTTATTACAAATTTTCCAATGTAAGTTTCACTTTATTATTTGTATATAATTTAATGTTCATGTTTATACAAAAATAAAATCAATTCAATAATTGGTTTCTTTTTTTTTTTTGTTGATAATTAATAATTATATTTTCATCTGTTATTAATTGATCAGATATACAATGGAAAAAATATACTATATAAATATTGATTTTTTTTGGCTTCATCAAAGATCTTGCCTTTGGATTTTATTTGATAAAAATTGAAGGTACTGTGTATTACATTTTATAAAATGTTACAAAGTTATAATGACTTATTTATTATTTTAATGTTTACTTTATAACAATAGTTATTATTAAGTAATACATAACTATTAGGAAATTTTATATGTACTCTAGAGTATTACAAAATTTCCATAATATCCCTGGTTTAATAATCAAAAATCTTGATATAAATTTTTCAAAGTCTGATATCCTATTTATAAAGTTTCAAAAATATAGGTATATAAAGTTTTTTTTAATAAATAATTCTTGTAAAATATGTCATATATGTTTAGATTGTAACTGGTATTATTTGATTTATTCAAATATTATAGATGAATTAGGTAAAAACAAATAATTTTAAATTATGCTTTTTCATCCAAATTGAAATATAATTTAAAATATATATATTATTTAAAAGTTCCAATTATTATTAAATTATTATAATGTCAAATTTAAACAATTTAGATAAATTTAGATTTATCTCAATATATATATTATATATGTTGTCAAAAAAAAAAGTCTTTGACTCAATTCTCAAAATTTTAATTGCATCAAATAATTATATAAATTGTATCAATTGCATCAATTTTTATACATTTGATTAGTTTTAATAACATGTATAATATATATAAACATGACAGAAGTTTCTTTTTGATAATCACATTATACATATTTTTCATATAAATATATATAAAAAAAGTATATCATATGGATACATAGTGTAGTGATAGAATCTGAAATATCTATGAGTTTTATCAAAAATACAGATATCTGTAATTAAATATTTAGATATATTTGCAAATATCTAAATATATCTGTGGATAAATAAATATTTTGTATAATATAATATTATTGTAACAAAATAAGAATCAAAAATAATTATTGATGGTTATTACATATAAAATATTTTATTTTAATAAGTAAATATTAAAAGCAGTATTAAGTATATCAGGAATTAAATAAAAACAATTTACAACACTATATGAATACCATTCTATAACATTATTCAAACAATACTAACATACTAGAACACAACATTCTAATATATTATTTGAATATTTTGTACTTATAACATACTAGAATGCAACATTCTAGTGTATTATTTAAATATCCCATATTTATAATGTATTAGAACACAATGTTCTAGTGTGTTATTTGAATGTTTCATATTTATAGTATACTAGAATATAATATTCTAGTACATTATTTAGAAATTTCATACTTATAGTACACTAAAATGCAAAGTTCTAGTTATACTTGTACATAAAATTATTTTAAAATCCTGAAATTACAATTTTGAAAAAAAAAAATCAAAATAGTTTTTCATAGAATACAAAATTATTCTATTTAAAACCTGAAAATTTTTAACTACCTAGATAAATTCTTTGATTAAAGATATACTTAACTAGATATTTTTTTTATTTTTATATATAGAATAGATTCTGTATAAATCTCAAAAAGACAAAATATCTCAAAAATCAATTTTGAAAACATGTATAGTTCTAGTACATTATTTAAATGTTTTATTATAGCATACTAGAACATCTCTATATAATTTCTAATGTAACTTGAAAGATAAAAATATTTTATATATTATATTAAAAAAACAGATTTATATTATCAAAATTGAAAACTATTAGTAATTAAATTTCAAACAGATAAAAATATTTTAAATAACAATTGTTTAGTCAATTTTGAAGATATATATCTGTCCTTTAAATGTATATACAATTAATTCTAAATTTTGAAGTTATTTAGTACCATATTTTATAGGTGTTGCTCAAATTCAAAATGCTAAATCCCAAATTTCAAATTTCAAATTCCAAAATACTAATTGCCAAAATTCCAAATTCCAAATTATGTCAAATACCTAATCTCAAATAATATGAAAACTGAATTTTGACAACTGAAATATCAAAATAATTTGAAATTTAAATGGCATATATATTATATTTAATATTTGCTAACAATATAAAAAGTCTTATATGTAATAATAATTAATGATTTTGTATATAATTATATAATAATTATTATTATTACATATAATTATAACAAAATCACCAATTGTAAAATAATAATAAAAAACTTTTTCCACTACACAACAATTTTAAAAAATCCACAGTATAATTATTTATAAAAAAAATAATTTATTTTTAATTTTTCTTTATTATTTATTATTTTTGTAAATATCAACATGTTAAAAAATCAAATTTTGAATCTGAATTAGATACCTATTAGATACCTGATAATCATATTAATTTTGTTAAATATTAGATACCTTTAGATATTTAATAGATAAATAATATAAAATTTTAAATTAACTATTATTATAGTTATATATAAAACTTTTAATTTTATAATTAATTATTAGTATATAATTAAATAAACTTGTAAACAATAAAAATATATATTGACTATAAAAATATTAACTTTATATAATTAAAATTAAGAGAATTATTAACATTTTAATTTGTACAACTGTTTAAATTTGACACTGTTGACCATGATTACCTTTACTAAACACAATTAATCAACAACTGATAATAGGAAAACTATTGTCCAAAAGATCACAAAACAATTGAATGAATATGTTATAGTTGAAAGGTTTTATACTTGAAGAGGTATAAGGAATAAAGGATTTGAGATTGTGAATTTGTTCAAAAGAGGCTAAGATGTGAGGATTTTTAATAGGATATGGGGTTTAAACAATACAACACTAAGTCTACAAATATTCACACAGTATTTTATAAGTTTTATACAGAAACTATAAGAATTCATACAGAATTATAATTAATCAAGATCATGAAGCAAGGTTAATTATAAATAGAATAATATCAAAATCACAAAGCAGGATATTATTATCAAAGTATTTCACTAAGAAATCAAAGGTTTCAAATTATTATTTATCACAAAGACTTTTATTAATAATTTATTACATATATCAAGTTCAGAATGTATTCAAGTTCTAACTGTTCTAACTCTAAGGGTAAAAGCTACCTCTATTTATACAAAATTGTTATCCTGTCACAAAACTATAATTACTAATTTCAAGAAAGCTCCAGAAATTTCCATCACATTTCAGGAAATTTTATGAACTATTTTGGTTAATAAGTTATTTGTGCTAGAGGTGTTTACCAGAGGTGATGACTAAATGTGTTAATCAAAGGTATCAACTAGAGATGTCAACCTCACGTCACAATAAAAATGATCTACATCTGTAACTTGTAAATAATAATATAATATATAATGTTATATAAATAAAGAAATCTAACTAATAAAATATGCTATTAAATATAATAATATTGATAAATAATATATAAGAATTAAAGAAATAAAGCTAATAACACTTATAATTCTTTTAATTTTAAAGATCTAGATTTAATATTTTTATAGTTGATACATATTTTTATTATCTATAAGTCTATTTAGTAATGATTTTATAATTAGATTATATAATCAAAAATTTTTATATATAATTATGATTACAAATTATTTCTGATTTTATATTTTGATAAATTATATTGGGATACCTGATAATTTTATATTTTTATAAAATTAACAATAATTGTGATTACAGTTACATATAAAAGTTTTTGATTATATAATCTAATTATAAAAATTTTACTAAGTAGACTCATAAAATTTAATTTTTTAAAATTAAAAAAATTATAAGTGATCTAATTTTGAATGGCTATATAAATTAAAATATTTATAATTCACTCAATTTTAATAATATAGAATTAATATTTTTACAATCAATATAAACTTTTATTTTCTACAAGTTTACTTAGTAATTTATTAATAATTATATTATAAAATTAAATAGTTTTATATGTAACTATGATAATAGTTAATTTAAAATTTTATATTATCTATTTAATATTCAAAAAATCTAATACAATAATTGGATACTTAATAGGTATCAATTTGAACCTGAAATTTGATTTTTTAACCTGTGAATAAAATTTAATTAAATTATTATTGTTCTTATAACAAATTATCAGATTAACTAAATGAATAGTCATGAAATTTTACAAATATATTTTTTGAAGCTTGTTTTTTATATTTAATTAGTTAGATCTAATTGAATCTAATTTATCAAGGAGTTTACTTAAAAACATATTTTTATAAAAATAAATTATATAGACTATATAAAAATTATTACTATTACAAGTAAAATTTAATTATTCTCAATTTTTTATTAAATTATTTTATTCTATATAAAATATTTAATAAATATAATTTATGAAGTTATAAAAGCAAAATATATTAAAAAAATTATCACATACATATATTTTATATAATATATCAAAAAAATTTTACTTATAAATATATGCAGATATATTTGTAATTACATCAGAAGATTTTAAAAGGTAAAAATTTCTAGAAAGATTTTAAAAAACTTGTAGAAATTTTTAATCAAATAAAAAGTTTTTTTTATTATGTAATATAAAATGATCTTGTTTATTTACTACTAAATAATTATAATAAATAATCTTGTTTCAAACTCTTTCAAAAATTATTATTTAAAATTTTAAACAAATTTTCAGAAATTTTCAAAAACTTATTTATTTTTTAAATAAATATGTTGATTTTTAACAAGGTTGAATGTCATTGCTATTTGTAAAATTTTTATTTGATGTTGTATTTTCAGATTATCTGAAACTTTAACAAAACTTTTTAAGTCCCTTTGGTTATGTTAAATTGATGGATTAAAGTAAAGTTCTTATAAGAAAAGTTCTCAATATTTCCTTTCTTGATTAATACAACTCTTATACTATAATGTTTTACTTTTTCTGTGAATTTTTTCTATATAACAGGTAGTAATTCAGTAAATTATATTTATAACTTTATTGTTTTTTATCTTTTCTGTGATTTTTCAAAATTCAGATAATTGTTCAACAAGTTATTTATAACCTTGCTATCTAGAAGTAAAATACTTTTGGATGCTTACTTAGAAACAGTACACAAGAATTGAATCAATTTATTCAATACTATTTCTAATATCTTTTTTCTTTTCTTTTTCATTAGTATCAATTCAGAATTTTTTGAAGATTTTTGATAAATTTTATTTTTTATTTTTTTCAAATATTCAAATTAAATTAGTTTTTTAGTTTTTTTTGATTATTTTTAAATTAATTATTATTTTTCACAATATTTCATAAAATCTTTATTATATAAAAAAATATAATAAACTAGGTATTTTTTATTATGTAAAAATATAGTAATTAATAAATGTTTATAATATTTAAAATATATATAATGACTAATAAATGTTCATAATGTTTAAAAATATAATATATATAATAATAAATTTTCATAATATTCAAAAATATATTTATAAATAATCTAAAAAATATAATATACTAATAAATATTTATAATGTTCAAAATTATAATAAATGTTTATAATGTTCAAAAATATAATTGTGTCACCTCATGTGAGATTTACATTTATTCTATAAATTTTTGAGATATATATTATATTTTTGATATATTAAATATAATTTGATTGGCTACAAACATATGACTTCATTTTTATACAAAGTAAGATATAAGATAAATCACCTTTCCTAATATAAACAAAAAATTTATACAAAGTGAGACATAAGATGAATCACATTTCTTAATATAAATAAAAATATGTCTTATGGCATAAAAACAAATCCATTTATAAACAAACAAACATTTTTTTTGTTTATATTAATATTCTAATTTATTTCAAACTTTTAATTAAAATTTAAGTTACTTACATCTTGTTTCTTTACATACTTCGATAAATATTATAAAATTCAATGAGTATAAATTTAACTGAAATTGATCTAGTTATTATCGAAAATGATATACCAAATACGAAAGATATTAAAAATATAAATATAGATAAAGATAATTTTTGTTAGTATCTATATACATTAAATTACTTATATACCTTTATACAATAAAATTAACATACATTATAGTCACTTTTAAAGATGTTCCTAAAGATATTAGATTTGATATATGGGATGAAATCAAAAACTATTTTGATAAATATGGTGATAGAAATGGATTTATCATTATTAAATATAGAATGGAATGAAATAGTAAAGGTCAAGTTCACAAAAGAACCTTTGTTTACAAGTTTGGTAATAAATATAAATCCAAAAAAAAAATAGAAGCAATATTAAAAGAGATTTAAAGAAACACTAAAACAAAAAAAAATAAGTTGTCCATGATATATAAACTTATCTTTTTCTAAACATTCAACAAAAATAATTGTTACAATATTTATTAATCAACATAACATGTGCTTGTTTCTAAAATTCAAGAATTTATAACAAAATATCAATCATTTACTAATAAAGTATTTAAAGAAATTTCATTAATGATGAAACATGAAAATTTAATATTTACGGTACAAAGAAACCTCCTAAAAGTTCAATTTCAAAATTTACATTTTCAAGTTCAAGATCTGACCAATGTAATTCAAAAATATAAAAATATTAATAAGATTAATAATGATGCATCAATATTACTCACTTCATTAATGCAAAAAAAAATTGAAAACTTATTCTAGATTATTGATTTTGAATTAGATAAAGAAAATCATTTAACTTGCTTTTTTTGGATATCTCCAGATCAAGTTGACCTGTAACTTAAATATCATGATATCATAATAAATAATAATACAGCTAAAACTAATCAATATCAAATACCATTGAGAATTTTTATAATAATCAATAATAAATATAAGACTTATTTTGTTTATTAGACATTAGTAAATGATGAAACCCTTGATACATACATTTAGATTCTTGAGTGTATCAAAAAAGCAACTAAACAAGTTTCAATCATTATATTTACTGATACAAACCCTACACTTGATGTGACAATTCCAATTGTTTTTTCTGAAACATATTTAGCACACTGTATATTTCATATTGCACAAAACTTATCTAAAAACTTGAAAAAAAAATTAAGTAAAAGATAAAATAATTTTATCAAACAGTTTTATTAATACTGAAATAATTTATGTGAGTTACTATTTAAGTAAAGATTGAATCAATTACTAAATAATTTTCTAATAACAAAAGATTATCTTTTATGTACATTAGATCAAAGATATAAACTGTGAGTTCAGGCTTATCTTCATAAAATTTTTACAGCTGATATTAAAAGTACCTCAAGAGTTGAAGGCTCTAATTGGATTATAAAATAACAATTAAAAGTCAACAGTACTTTATATGAACTTGTGAATCATCTTGATTTGAGATTAAAAGAAGAAGAATGATAGAATCAATTTTATAAATATAAACAAGTTACAATATTAAATACTATTTTCACAGTTGGACAAGATTTATTTCCTACAATAATGAAAGTCCTTGATAAATATCTTACTGAACCCATTAACAATATGATTAGGGTGGAAATATCTCAATATTTATTTGTTAACACAAATATAATTGAGCCTAGTGATGAAGAATTAAATTGAAAACAGGTATGTTACATGTGCAAAATTTCAATTTGACCATATTAACTATTAATACCTTGTTATTGTAAAGAAAAATTTTCAAAGAATATCAGATAGATTTATTGAGGATCAATATGATGCATGTTTTATTATACTCCAGGTCATGATTGCAGAAGTAGGAAAAAATAAAATATTAGAAATATAAAAAGTTGTAGATATGAGAAGTGAAAGAAAAAACTATATATATTTTGTTATTATTATCAATGTAATATCTTTTCTATGTTCGTATCTCAAGTACATTTTAAGGGAAATTATATATCACCACTATTTTTGTGTTATGATGAATTTCAAAATTACAGCATTTCACATTAGCATGATAACTCAACGATGGTATAAGGATATTTATCAAGATGAAACAAATCTACAAGAAAGTATAATATTAAATTATGAAAGAGACACTCATAATAATGAATTTATAAATAAAAGTATCTTACCAATACGATGTTTTTTTATAATTTTAACAACTGTTCCTATGCTTAGAAAAGCTGTTCGTAAAAGAAATTTATATGGTTATGTGTGAGAATTAGTATGAACAGCCACTTTACTTACAGTTGAACAAGAAGATGATGAAATAACAGCTTTTCTTCAAGATTATATTAGAAAAAAATTAAATCAAAATATGTCTGCAGAAATATCTGCAATTAATAAAAGTTCCATGATTAAAGAAATTAAAAGAAATACAAATGACGAAACACCTGAAAATGATCAAATACTAGTAGCAAATGATGAAACATTAATAGTTAATATAATTGATGAAATATTCAATAATGCTCACGAAATTCAAATAAATAAAGGTGATACTGGTCAGGAAAAGAAACATACAGTGGCTTCCAAAATAAACGCACCACCTATATTTTAAATTGTTTTTTATGTATAATTTTTTTTTTTACAATTAAAAT